TATATATACATATTATATATTTTCCTAACAATCTCCTCACTCACTTGAGCCCTTATTTGTGGCATTTATGTGGTAAAATTGGAAAGACTACTAAACTCAAACTGTCAGCTCATTTAAACTTGACCTGTTATGTTCCACCTGAGTTTCTACCAAGTTTTATTGAAATTTAGTTCAGCCAGTTCCTCGTAGGTCTATTGAGATAGATCATTAAGTGATTAAGTTTGAATAATTCATTCAATAATGTCAACAAAAAATGCATGCCTGTATTATTTTAATTATACAAAAATAGTATTTGTTGTTGTTTTTTTTATTTGGATTAGCTATTTCTGTCCTAATAAAATGTCCATTAAAAATCTGTATGTAAAAATAAGAGGTAAGTTTGGATTCGAAACAAATTGTAATGTAATTCTCATAGTGGAAATTGTCCCAGCATTAAATCTTAGTTACAAGTTTTTCATAGGATGATTTCAGTTATAGAATAAATAATTATCATTGTAAGATAAACAATTTATATTTAATTTTAGATTTTATGAGAATAAGAATAGAAAAATTAGTAGAATGATAAATTCTGTAATAACAGTGGTGTTAAAATAGTATTCTGTTTTTTCATTTAATTATGGCTTGTTAAAGGTTTCTGTATACTAGCTTGGAAGATCTATGATTTTGCATATATACACACTATCTGGATAGTTTTAACACAGTCTGAAACTCCAAACTGCAAGTTAAACCATTTTTTATAAGTCTATAGTTAGGTATATTTTATATCTTGTTTTTCAGCCATCCCTGAAGATACAATAGACCAAGAAAGTGAAGATGAGGATAAACAGGATCCGGATGAGAGAATTAGTATTAGAGCATCAGACAAAAGAATTGCTCGAGATGATGAATATTCTGATAGTGAGGATGAAGGTAATGGGCGACGCAATATCCAGTCTCATCGACCTAAAAAGAAACACAAAGGAGAAGAAATTGGAGATATAGACAAAAGTGATAAAGAAAAGGAGGGCTCTTTGAAAAAAGAAGAGGAAAATAAAGGTACGAATATAATAGTATTGATCCATTGTGTGTGAATCCAACACCTAATGAAAGTATTGTTCAATAGTACATATAACTTGAGTACCCTTGCATTGGATGACCACTTCATGTTTTATGGTACAAACTAGTGGAAGTAGTTTGTTAGAGGAAATTGTTAGGAAAATATGTGAATCCAACACCTAATGAAAGTATTGTTCAATAGTACATATAACTTGAGTACCCTTGCATTGGATGACCACTTCATGTTTTATG